TCTACTTGATAAAGTTATCGGTTTAGATGAATACCACTATTATTTCCTCGCCCTATTTCATACAAAAATTATTTCACATTTTCATTTACCCATTGAAAACTTGTTTATTTATCCAACGATTTTTATCGCTAGTAAATTGTTTTTTGGCAAAACAACAGGTTCTAATACAAATTAAAAAAATACAAAATTTAAAACTTGACTTTCAGGACGCCGGGGTTGTGAAAATTTTTTTTTAAACTTATAGACCATTTTTTGGGCCGACATCCAGTTCTGTTTAAGGTATTTTATTTTAAATTATAAAAAATTTCTAAATTTAATAAATGACGTACAGTACAAAATATTTGTACTTTTGAATATTTTTTTTTTTTTATAAAAATTAAAATACTTTGGCGATAATTACCTGATTTGGAAACGGAGCTTTTCTCATGGACACAGCCGCAAAGATATCAAAAAACTTACCGTCAGTGAAAAGCGGTAAAATTTGTTATATTTCAATATCTTTTCTGCAACAGCGTCATGAAGCTTAAAAATAAATAGATAATTCAAAAACTGATGGCTTTCAGCTCCAAAACGCTTCTGAAAAGGCTTTCTGTATGAACAATTTCATATAAATAGTTACAGCATTGAAAGCTTCACCCAACTCGGAACGGCTTCGCTCGGCTCGGCTCCGTTTTCTGTGTGAACGTACCTTAAGAGTAGCATGCGGTGCCCACGCATTTGCAAGGAGTTCATAATTCTCGTTATCGCTTAGTTTACCGCGACAAAAATTGTATACATCATTGAGCGGAACCTACAAGAATGTGAATTTAAATCTTGATTTTCGGGGAGCGGAGCGTTGTGAAATTACTGGCATCTTGTAAACAATGGACTTAGAGAGGCGATCATTTTTGGATTTTTCTCTATCTCATCATTATATACTGGGAACTGCGGGACTCAGTGACTTACTATGAAATCAGTTGCACTAAGGTCCTCCACGTCAGAGCGTCTTAATTTGTTCGCTACTTGACACTCGTTAGGTGAATTTTCGGCTGTCACTGTAGTTTGTGCAAATCGACAGCGGGAGGGGCGGAATTTTACGGTTCAAAATAGTTCGTTAATTTTACAGAATGCATTCGGAACGTAACACTTCTTGTTTTGGTGATAAACGGGCATTGGAAATACACTTTTTTCTCCCAAATAGGTAAATTAATTTTTTTCACAAAATATGGATCAGTAACGCCGCGTTCACGTTAAAACTCTAAATGA